CATATAAACCCACACACAACCCACAATTCCTCCAATTGCTCTGATGAAGGGCTAGTGCTCGAAACATCAGCTTTTTTTTTTACCCATAACAGTGGCCAATTTACATTTTCAACTCAGTTGTTAACACTAAATTACCTGTAATTTTCCTTACTGTCTACCATACGATTCTTATGATGTCAGTTTGGAGAATTTGGTATGGGATCAAGAGATAATTCCATCTTGATCACTCATGGGAGGTTAAGGATTAAACTGACAGTATGGGATCAAGGGATAATTCCATATTGGTCACTCATGGGAGGTTAAGGATTAAACTGACAAGTACTCGGTTTTCTTTTTACTCGATTGCAGGGTAATGTGGCCCTTATATTGCCAGGGAAAGATTCACCTTAACCCTTTAACACCCAGGATCTCATTAGTAATTCTCCTTACTGTTGCCATACAGTTCTTGTGATGTTTGTTTGGAGAATTTGGTATTGGATCAACTTATAATCTCCTAATTTATATTTTTCTTTACTCTTGTCACTTTTCTGCTTGATGTTTTATTGATATTATAAGGAGAAATTCTGTCTTGGTCACTCATGGGAGTTAAAGGGTTAATCATTAATAATAAATGGGGCTGAGGGAAAATAATGTTTTTTTAATAGTTTATTTTGTATTTATTATAGATGTATTTTGAAAATGGATCACCACTGTCCATGGGTGAATAACTGTGTTGGGTTTACAAACTACAAGTTCTTTCTGCTATTCCTGTTTTATGCAATCCTTTACACACTCTATGTCACAGCAACAGTTACAAAGTATTTCATTGCATTTTGGAATGTAAGTCTAAGAAATTTTCAATATCTTTCCATTTTTACTTTTGTTATTTAAAGGGATGTCAAAGATTTGATAGCAGTGTGTTCCTTGGGTGATGTTAGATAGATCCATCCTTGCCAAATTTTATAAATGTTTGTAAAATATCATTGTTGACAAGAAAAGGTTGTCATTCACTAGGAGAGTACTTGTTTCAAGGACATAACCCAATGTAACAGTGTGTTGAAGATTTTTCATGTTGTCATTTTCTTGTCTCTTACAGAACTCTTTGGAAGGTGATGGAAAATTGCACATTTTATTTCTGTTTTTTGTTGCCCTCATGTTTTGTATAAGTCTTTGGTCACTTTTTGGTTACCATTTATATCTTACTGGTAACAACAAGACAACACTTGGTGAGTTTGAAGTTTTAGTTAATATCTTTTTCTTCTGCCAAATATGTGCATGGTTATGAAGTAGATATCTTTTAAATAGCTAAACATAAGCAATGAAATGAACATTTTACCAACAGCTGATGATATACAATGTAGAGAAATGACCTTCACTGGTAAGCTGCAATTAAATCAACTACAGAAAAGAGGCCTGAAAAATTCAGGCCTCAACAGAATTCAAAACTGAGCCTCCCACTTATTAGTTAGGTGCTTAACCAGGAGGCCCTTGTTTGAATCCCATCCATTCTGCAATTTCTTTCATTGCAGCTCACCTGTGAAGATCATCTCTCTACTCGTTAAACATGTTAAGTAATCTATCCTTGGAAGCCTAATTTGTTTTAACTCTACCTTCTCCACATACCCTTCAATGATTTTATATCATGTGAGTTTGATTTTTTCAATGAAAATATTAAGCTTATTATACATTTTTCTCTGCATGAGTTGCAATGCTATTCATGTCTAGTTCTCAAATATTTTTTAAAGTAGTGTTAAGTTCAGAAAAGTTTTTAAAATTTGTTTATCTGTGATGATGTACATGTAGTTCCTCTGTTTCTTCCTGACAGAGTCATTCAGAGTTCCTCATTTCTCTTATGGCCCAAATAAGGATGGCTTCAGTTTGGGAACTGTAATTAAGAATGCAGAACAAGTTTTGGGACTCAACAAGTGGTATTGGTTTTTACCTATTTTCACCAGGTAAGAGTTTTGTAAATGCATTCCACCACCTTCTCCCCACCCCTCCCCTCCCCCTCCCCTCCCCCTCCCAGACAAACACACACTTTCCCCTCCCAGTGTACCCAGCTAAAAAGCCATGTTGGAGTTTTCCTTACATAATAACCATTAGCTACTCTGAACCCCACCATCTGATTTATCAGGTTTCATAAAAATTAAAAATAAAGAAATAATAAAAAATAAATTTATAATGGTAAATACTGGTTTATTGAAAGAATATAAAGAACAACCCTGCTGACTCAAACTCCCAGAGGTTCCTCTGTATATCCACAAGTTGAGGGTTTATATACAAAACTCAAAACTGTTATTACTCTGCACTCCTAGTACAAATAGCATAGTAGTATTGTTTGATAGCAGCCTAGTTTAGAATCTTGAAAATTACTAGCTCAATTTTGAGTTAAGAAGTGACATTTTCCAATGTTTCATTTCTTGGACAGTATTGGTGACGGAGTTCATTTCCCACTGGTAAATCAACCTGAGCAAGACTCATTATTAAATGATCAGCAAAGATGGATGGAGGAAGGGGAGTTGGATCCACAGGACACCCACTCCAATGACGGCAAAGGAGATTCTACAACTGTGGCCATTGATATTACATCAGAAGAGCTGCTGCATGAGAACGAGGTGGAAACTCAGGTGCCATATGCTCACAGGGCCAAACCAGATGTGCTGGCAGTTCAGGAAGATGACATTCAAGATGGGACGGCATTGTAATATCCACTCTGAAGCGCTAGTTTCCCTGGCTGGAACTGTTGGTGTTTGCCATGGACTCTTGCTGAGGCAGTATTTCATCAACATAAATGTCATTGAAAAAAATAATGCTGGCTGGTAAACTTTTCCATTTTCTGGAACAAAGGAAAAATTCCCTGCGACTCAAGCAAAGAATGGCCTCTTACTGACTTGGGAACCAGTGGTTGAATAACATGTTGTGACCATTTTGGAAAAGTACTTGGTGCTTAGTCTATGATATTTACATATGACTGCAAGTGTACATTGATTTTAGTTTTGTGCCAAACATTTATGGAATGCTGTATAGATTTGAGAGAAATCTAGGGACTAAAATGTGTTAAAGCAACATTTGATTTATTTATCACATGGCTGATAGATCATGGATTATGGATTTGCAAGATAAACAATTTGTTGAAGTTCCCTAGACTAGGTCATTATTTCTTAAATGTAATTTTATATCTGAGTAAATTTATTTAAAAACCTAATTTTGGTGTTAGGTTTGAGCAACAACCCAAAAGGTGGGTAATGTTATAAGGAGTCTTGAGTTTTGGACACCAATGAAAAAAATGAAAATTTGCTGCAGGTAAAAATAGTCGCAGATTGTAAATAGTATAGACATCAGCAGATATGTTATTAAACTAGCAATCAGTTTGATGATATCTAGCTAAGACTCTAATTGTCCAATGCAATGTAAATTCTTTCAAGCTCAAGACAGCTGCAAGTGACTGTAATTGTATATGTTTTTTGTATTGTGTATGTTTTGAGCTTAAATACTCAAACTGAATCAGCTTTAGTAGTTTTGTAGATTCTTCACAACAGTTGGGTCATATATCAGGATACTTCCCTTGGTTGATCGTTTTACAAATTATTATTACCTGTTGTTCAGCATGGTATAGATTTTCAAGGAGAATTTATATTTTGGTCACTCCTGGGAGAGGAGATAACCAAAGAGAATTTTGCAATCATGATCTTGCTTTTTTTTTTTTTTGTTTAAATCCCAATGTAAGGTCAAAGCAAATTTTGTAATTAATGAACTGATAGAGTATATGTTCTTATCTTTATTTTGCTTGATGAAATCAATGGAATGTATGTGGTGTTTCTTTTAGAATTTTTGTACTTACTGTATCAAAAGATTAATTTTGCTTTCTTACTTACATGGATTAAAGATGGGATTACAAAGGTGTGGGGTAGAGTTTTGACATCCGTTTCTTTTCAACAATGTGATGTTAACCCTTTACACCCTGACATCAGTATGAATTTTCTCCACACTGTTCTCTGTACACTTTCAAAGGTGCCGACAGAGAGAATTTGTTTAACGATCAAGAGGTTCTTTAGGTGGTTATCATATTCTTTATTCTCGTGATCTTAATGTTTAATTTTATTTAATTTAATTGTAAGGAGAAATTAGATGCCAGTCACTCTAAGGGTTATATAGAAAGTGTCTGTTTTCGAAGGCCAATAGGATGGAGGATGGAAAAGCTACGTTGCTGGCCTCTCTGGGTGTTGTACCTCATATGGTAGGTCATGGGAAGGCCCCCATCAGCATTGAAGGCACATCCATACTACTACGGGTAACTCTTCTTCTGCTGCCGACCATCGCACAACATATGAAAATTAACGGCCAACAAATTCTGAATACATTCTTTGTTATAGAAGGAAAGAAGTGTCTACAAATTGATAAATATCTTTAAAACTTAGGTTTCCTTAAAGCAATGCTGAAAACGTACAATGCTTACATGCAGTTGAATATTTTGCCGCTTCTGTCACCGGGTCCAAACGCAAACGAAAATATTAATCAAACTAGAGAAGATTGGGCTAAAACGTAGGTGGAATTCATCGCTCGTTTCCTGAGATAGGATTGGTCAGTTTTGGGTGAGTGACCCTTGAAACCGAAATCGCACACAGGTGGAAAGGAGAGGGAAATCATATTTACATTCAAGCACTAGGCACTCGAAATACATCTGACGATTTTAAAGAAAGACGACTAAGGGTATCTCTTCTTCTGCTGAATACGACTGCGTTTGATTGGCTTAAAAAATAATAAAGATTATTTAAACAATTAAGCCAGGTATAGGAAATCATATATGCATACAATAATTTTCTGCGTTATAGCAATACTTGTTCAAAAGATCCACTGTTATTAAGCATTTCTGATAGCGAAAGATTTAGAAAAAACATTTCATATTAAAAAGTAGCGAGATTAAAACATAATGTTTCGGCGACGACATGTCACCATTATCAAATGTAAACTATTGTAAGTTCAGTGACGTTTTATAGAGGAAGGAAAGTGTGAAACTTAATCAGAATGAAAATGAGATGGAGTGAAACAAAAGAATGTACACAATTAAATAAACAGTTTCGCTGGAATGGAGTCTTTGATTGTTCAGAGTCGGTCTCTTTTTCCTTATTAAAAACATCTCATCAGATAAGGCATTCAAACTTTCCGCGGCATTTCTTTAGGATGGCAAATTGCTCGTGAAGATTGTTCGGTCTTTGATTGTGTTCGTCTTTAAGATGTTTTCCGATGACGGAATATTTGTGCTCCTCAATACGAAGGTGGAGGTGACGGTTCTTGTAACCTATAAAATTCGCATCACACGAATTACATTTAGATTCATATACAACGCTTTGTTGGTTTACCAGTGACAGCTTTGTTTCCGTGATTTTTAAACCTTTCGAGATTTTCCTACTTGTGAAAACTGGTTGTAGTACACGACTGATTCACTCCATCTCATTTTATTCTAATTTCGTGTCACACTTTCCATTCTCTATAAAACGTCACTGAACTTATAATAATTTTACATTCGATAATGATGACATGTCTTCGCCGAAATGTTTTAATCTCGCTTGTTTTTATTATGAAATATCATTAAGCAGTAAGTTTAAATAAGCGGCATAAGTATGATACAAAAAGTGCTATATTTAGGATTTCACCTCAGAAGACTTTTGTCTTATATTGGTCTCTTTTGATTTTTTTCGAGAGAAAATGAAGCGATTCTCCGAGAAAAAGAATTCACGGAAAAAGTTAAGAGCTTAAAAATCTAAGAGTAAAGTTTGTCTCTCCTCCGTGACGTTTCGAAGTCCTTTACATGAAAAGTAGTGATCGACAACACAGTCGTTTGCATCAGGTGTCATACCTCTTGCTTTGATGCTTTTGGCTGGTTGGTCTGTGATCTTTAAGCTCTCTTTTCATATTATCACCGTGGCGACTATTTCTACGTCACAAGGAATATGTCGGCCCAAATTTAATGCTCGATATCCCATGTACACCTCGGCTGCTTGCTGGCTGTGTCGAGCTATCTGCTCGATACAAAGATGGCTTCTGATTATGAGAGCAATTGTCTTGAGGTGGAAATCTTTCTTCACTGCGTTCAAATGACACGCCGACTTTGTTTCCGGCCAAAGTTCGTCGGGTGCTGTTCGCGGGTTCGTCCGTTGCAGTGTCTGCTTTGACATCGCTCGCGGTACCGTAAGATACCCACACCCTCAAAGGCGCTAAGATTCGCAGGTACTCCGCGCGGATGGAACGATTCATGATGCCATAGATGATGGGGTTCAGGGAGGTGCTAGCAAATCCAAAACAAGTGTAACTCACGTAAACTTGGCGTTTGAGTTTCCAGTCCGCGTTTATGAAGTCAATCATGTCGATAACCATCACAGGGGTCCAGCAAGTTAGAAAACCAATTACAACCACAAGGAGAATATAGGTAACCTTTACTTCGTCCACGGATAGAAGACTATCACTGCGATGGTTGAGCTGTCTTCGTTTTTGACTAAGTCGAAAGTTGAGGTTATGTTTTCGAACGGTGAAGAACACTTTGGTGTAACAAGTTATGATGATAATCAAAGGAATAAGCACATAAACGAGAACCAAGTAAGCTCCATATCCCTGGTATAAGCTTTCAGCATTGTGCGCACAGAAAACTTTACCAGTGTGAAAGAAAAACTCGTGTCCGGAAACAACGTATGGAAGTGGCGCAAACAGAGCCAAGATCCACAAAATCGTGATTGTTACCTTTGTTGTCTTGATGTTAAAGTACTTTTGATACTGCGTGCGAGATCGAACAACACGGAAGTATCTATTCACAGCAGTGACAGCTAAAGTTTGTAATGACACTGCACACATGAGAAGAATCCAGAAGCCTTGAAGCTGGCAGACAAAGTTGTTGAAAGGCCATTTTCCAACGATCAGAGAGGCGACTGAGAAAGGAATTCCCAGCAAAGACATCAAGAAGTCTGAGACAGCCAAAGTTATGATGTACATATTGGGAACAGTCTTGCGAAGATTCGGGTTTTTGATGACAGCGATTCCAAGAAGAAGATTCCCAAAGAAAGAGAGGGAGTTGATAAACAACATGAAGAACGACTCTGTGGCCTGAATGACAGTCGATCGGCTTTTTAACTGCCAAGAAAAGACTTCAATTGTGGTCAGTGATGCGTTATCGCCCATGGTTGTGGTCTGGTTGATCTCCGTGGTGTAATTGAAAGACTGCAAGACTCAGAGTCCCTGCCAAACGATCGTTTTGCTACCAAAGTTCATGATATGGTTAGGTGTCGCTGGATTTTTAACGCTTTCGTGATGTTTAGATGGGCCCTGATAAATAATTAAATAAAAAATGATAGTTTCGTCGCGGAAGTTTCACGAATATATCACCGAATTAATATGGATAGAGAGAACGAGCGAAAATTGAAAATTCGTGATAGTTTTGCTTTCGGATACGTACTTGTCATCAAATATCCTTTCTTGGGCGTTCACTTCTTTCGGATTTACACTCAAACTTTAACTGTTTGGAATGATTTTCATAATAGCTTAAACATCGTTTAGTTGTACAGGTTTTCCAGTCTTTTTACCGTTTTTCAGTTACAAAAGAGGAAAATTTTCCGAATTAAGCAGAGGCGGGCTGCAGGTGTCGTCAATGGAAGTGTGAAAGTAAACTCACCGTTTTTAAAAAGCTATGTTTCAGCTTTTGTCAACACAGCCGACAATGTTTGCTTGTAACTCAAACGAATCGTGGCTCTTAAATGTGAGCGAGCGGTATCAGATTCCTTCCGCGACTAATGCAATATATGTCTAGAAAAGGCTCAAATACATTTTGCAAAACATCATATCTACCAATTTGATAAGTCATCTTGGAAATATTCTGCTTGATAATTCGTGACCTATGTTAGTAAGTTTTGTCTCTGTTTGTTTTATTGGGGAAATGTTATTTACTTTTTGCAAAAACATTTCCTCACTTATAAAAATGAAAGTAATTCGACATTTATTTTTTCACGTCTGTTCCAACACTGATTCCGATTGAGCAATTCATTAGCAAAACCGAAATGTAGAACTTTATGATTTCTCATAAAAGCCTCCCTAATTATCAGTTGGTTTTTTTTTTTGTAAAGTTGTCATCAAGTTTTCTTTCAACGCGGAGATGAAGGTGGAAAAATAACACGACAAACAGTCATGCTTTTCAAAGGTACTTTCTGAACAATACCTTTCCGTCAACTGTGCCAAGATTGCAGGAAACACTCGAAATGTTCCTTTAAAATTCATACTGGTTAATTTTGAAAGCACTTAGTTTATCATGCAAGATGTCAAAGTTGTCGGAGACTTACATTGATCACTTTGAAGAACAGGGAGGACAAATCTTGATTAATAAAACATTTCAAATGATAACCGCAAGAATTGTGTTCACTGAGCCAAACGGGACTCAGTTTTTGCATTGTCAGATGAGTCAAATGTTGAAATTCTTTCTAGAACACTCGGCCAAAACAAACATTCCGTATTCGGCGGGGTTGAATCACCCACAAATTTCAATGAACGTGCATTTAACTTGAACGGCTTTGTGTGATTCCACAAGTTCTAATTATCTTGCATCCTTTCCTACAGACAGTAATTGTCGTTTTTTTAATAAAAGAAACCTGAATATATAACGCTTTCATTTATCAGTATTAGACAGGTTGCTAATTAACTACAACACGCCGGTCTTTCATTTACCCAGAAGCACGTTGCGGTAAATAATGAAAAGGTTATTCGTTTTTCTAAGCCCTGTGACCGACTAATTTCTTTCCTGGATTATTCCGCAATTGATTCGACCAACAATCCGCAATCCAACCTGCAAACTACTCACGCGCCGGTCGGAAATGTTTTTGCCTTCCTTCTCACAGCGGGAAATTGCAGCGTACGTAGGGAAATTGAAATGGCGCCATTTTGGCTTTGAATTGTGTGTAGTTTACCGCTCCACTTTTTTTATGTTTTACAAAAGTCACTTTTAATAATTATAAAATTGCTTGTATTTATGCCAGCGTATTTCGTTTCTTCGCGTTCTTCAAACAGGTTTGTTTTTTGGTAATGGTTAACAATGTGAATGAATGATCAGCACGGTGAGCCTATCGCTAGTCCATTCCTAATTCAAGTGTATCGCTTTAAAAAGAACTCGAAAGAGAACCGCAACACGCATCTTGTATCCGCTCGTGTTTCGTGTTTGGGGCATGGCTCTCTTGGTTTCATCTAAAGAAGTTATTTGGTCTTATGAGGGGCCAAAACGACAGGCTTCTGCGGAGCCGGTTAGATCATGATGAGTTATATTATTTATCTTTTGGTCATCCCATCCCCTTGCCTAAGGGGTGCCAGCTTTGAATGCATTCCGCTCTGACAACTTCTTTATTTTTGTTTTGGAGGCTGCGCAGGATGATTAGCAACGTGTTCTCAATAAGATTTTTCTTAAGAGAATCGAATTATTTTCCGTGATCACTTTCGATTGAGAAATCTCCCTTACCTCACGTGCTGTAACTCCAGAAACCAAATGGGAAATTATAGTATATATTAGTATATATTAGTATAGTCGCGTACCGCTTTTACTTTTCTTCTTTGTTTCGTTTCGATGCTAAGAAAAGCCAAAATTCATCGCAACACTATTTGGATTGATTCTTTTAAGTAAACAAGTTAATTTCTTTCCCTGAAAAAAAAAATTTAATTCGGTGACTAAGGGAAATTCTGATTCAATGTGAACGACACATTTTCGGAGCTAATTGGGATTATTCCAGAGGACGGTAGATCTTGGCAATATTACAAACTGGCATGGTGCCGAATAACACTGTCACATTCTTAAAACCTGGAGTCTAAAATATTAATTGCGCAAAGTCATCACTAGATCTCGCCGGAAATATCCAAATCGTAGACGTGTCGTGAAAAAGCGTAATTTTCAATGTGACGATTATATTTACGTCTGTATGCCAAGTTCCTGTTTAGTTTTTGTGGTTAAGCAAAACAGTTATATATCCCGCTTGCGAAAGGCGATGACATTTTCAACATTTATGTCATTGTATCAATTTGTTTGCCTAATCTTCTTCAAATATTGTTTTCTTTATTAGTGTCTGGTCGTTGTGTCGTGGAAGCCTAATCGTTGTCAGCATTTAGGACAGATTCCTGGCAAGGTTGCTTTCGATTTGCCATGTCTTAAAGCTCTCTTTCAGTCGAGCGAAAAACGTGGCTGGAACATTACGTTTTGAAGCATCATAAATTTAGATGTATTTTACTTGGCAAATTTCGCTTTTCAAAGTAAATAGACTTAACTCCAGGTCTTGATCAAATTATGAAGATGTTTAGTGATGATTCCGTCTACGAATAAGGAAGGGCCATTTAATTAGCAATTGAAAACCAATGTTTGGACGCTGCAGTTGACCTGAATTTTGAATCACTAAACTCGCACCACCCTCTTCATTTTCCAAACACATCCTCCCAAAAACGCTGTAAATCCAATCGCAACCTGATCCCAAGCGTTCTTTCGCGCTTGAGACAGTTTGATGCTTTTGAGTATAAATTCTCTCTCTCTCAACTTTTGTAAATTCACAGCACAGCGACAACAACGCATAAAATTAATCCTGAATTTTTAGTTGATGTCAAATACCTTAAAAAGGCTTGACCGAACCTTTAAATAATAACAGAGATCGAAAACTATTATTGTTTCGTGATGCCCTGTCTTACAGTCACCTTGTTTTGAACATTATTTTTAATTTGCCCGGAAGCTTTTCCTTCCCCCGTGACCTTGTATGTAGGTCCTCAGCCTCTTCTATTGGCCCATTAAATTCATCTTGAGAATTCATGAGTCCAGTTAGAACTTAGGACCGTAATTTTTAAGACACTAATGTACTCAAAAGCAACTACTTCAGAGTTATTCAACATGGAAACTTCAATTTCAGTCTTAATTTTTTTTGACAAAATTGAAGTACACCAGCCATCACACATGCGCAGCACCAGAACTTTAAAAGTTCTTGATGCCAAAGAAATATTTCATTTTCGTTTTCGAAAGTTTTGGTTTCTGCGGTTGTGTGGAATGCGGCTAATATAAACCACAGTAACGCATTTTTTAATATTGTCGATAAAAAAATCTGCATAGAATGTTTGGGTTCATTATTCCGTAGCTTTCAGGAAGAAGAGTGGGCAGGCGTAAATTTGTAATCACCGTGAAACCACGAGGACGATTCACTGCAGACGAGTTGTTAACAAGGTGTTAAATCTCTCAATAATTCATCGGAATTGTAACATTTATTTGAAATCGAAGATTACAAACATCTGCTGATCACGAAAGTGGACAACCTTTATACCTACTCAGTCTAAAATGAATGCAACACTGAACGCAATTGAAATATTCGCCCGCCAGTTACAAGACCGTTCTCCTACAAGTCAAGCCACAGAGTCGTTGTTCATGTTGTTGATCAACTTTGTTTCCTTTGCTGGAAATCTTCTGCTCGGAATCGCTGTCATCAGAAACCCAAATCTTCGCAGCACTGTTCCCAACATGTACATCATAACTCTGGCTGTCTCAGACTTCCTGATGTCTTTGCTGGGAATTCCGTTCTCAGTCGCTTCTCTAATCGTTGGAAAATGGCCGCTCAGCAACTTTTTCTGTCAGCTTCAAGGTTTCTGGATTCTTCTTATGTGTGCCGTTTCGTTAGAAACTTTAGCTGTCACTGCCGTCAACAGATATGTTCGTGTCACCCGATCCCGCGCGCTATATCAAAAACTCTTCAGCCTAAAGAAAACGAAGATAACAATCGCGATTTTGTGGATCCTGGCATTGTTTGCGCCCCTTCCATACATCGTTTCTGGTCACGAGTTTTTCTTTCACGCTGGTAAAGTTTTCTGCGCGCACGATTTAGAAAGTTTGAATCAAGGATATGGGGCTTATTTGGTTCTTGTTTACGTGGCTATTCCACTAATGATCATCGTTATTTGTTACACAAAAGTATTTATAGCGGTGCGCAAACATAACCTTCAACGCAGGCAACGAAGGAGGCAAATGGACCTGCGATCCGACAGTGGGCTATCTGTCGAAGAAGTGAACATTACAAACATTCTCCTTGTGGTTGTAATAGGTTTTCTAGGCTGCTGGACTCCCGTATTGGTGATTGATATAATCGATTTTATAAACGCGGATTGGAAACTAAAACGGCAAGTGTATGTGAGTTACACTTGTTTTGGATTTTCCAGCTCTTCGTTAAACCCCATCATATACGGTATCATGAATCGTTCAATTCGAGCGGAGTACTTCAGAATTTTTAAAACCTTGAAGAATTTTGTTTTTAGACAAAAGAAGTAATCCAGTGGTAGATATAAAGAAGGTTTTGGAGAAGGTCTCCTCCTTCCCCTTTCGCCCTTTTTTTATAAACCAATACCTAAAAATACAAGACCGAGGCGACAAGATATTTCTCAAACTTATTTTGGAAATAAGGAACTTCCTCTTCCTAGTGATTCTTGCAAACAGAAGATCAGAAAAGTAAAATAAAACGTAATTATATACATTATACTTTCGTTTATTAAATCAAGGAGGTGTAGCTTTTCTTCATTTAGTCATTTGTCGGCATAGCACAGTTAAACAAACAGAATAAAAAATAAGCATTATCACAGAACTGATTTAAGATATAATCAGAGGCTTGTTTACTGAATTATTTTCTACCTAGGACATGGAAAAAGGAATAAAAACACAGCAAACTCTCTCTTGAAATTATTTCAACTCTGGCCTAGAATTAACTTCTTTCAGTTTACTCCCGTTAGTATCATGAACTGTTGCCTCAAACTGAATGTACACTCAGCGCAAAAGGCCGATATTCTTCTGAGGTTATGCGAGCCAGACACAAGACAGGAAAAAGTTGAATAGCTTTCAATATTGGCCTTGTTCCTAAGGTTGTATCTATCACGTTATTTTAAGATCATTTGTGAACTAAAAATACATTTTCCGCCCTGGTCTTTGTGGCGAGTTCTTCCACCTTATGCGAAGAGTTCTGCCACAAGTAGAAAGTATAGTATACTAGGGGATTTACACTTTTTCGACAACAAATCATAAGTCTATTTAACTTATCCTATAAGTACGAAATCAGGTATTACGCTTGAGAGCTTTTTGAAAATATGCCCAACGAAGGATGCCATGCTTTCATAACATCACGCACGTTAACGGAAATATCTGAAAGCGGTCAGTTGTTTTGTGGTTACAACTAGTACTGAACACACACGGTTCCAGTCCCCCCCTCACTCCATCTCAGCCAGTCATAAGGATAATTTGGTTTAATCTTGTAATACCTCCCACCCACCCCACCCCCCGATGCAGCGCCATAGTTTCTTTATTCTTGATAATGTAAATTGGCTTTCGTGTATAGTTTCTAGAGCTAACGGTTCGAGCGTGAGCCTTACAACTAGCAATTGTTCCCTCATGTTGGAATGAATATTTCTGAATAATATTTGACAGGAGCACATGGTGGGCTCCTCTACTTGATATGAAGTCAAGGGGATTGTTCAATAATATTCACTCAGCCTGAGGAAAAATAATGGAGTTATATCAGGCATCAGGCATCTGGCATCTGCGTTGCTCACCTGTGTGACAGATTTCTCGTTCCCAGATCTCTTTAGTTCTCATTGGCTGCGGTTTCTTTCGAAAATGAATGCGCTTGAAGAAATCGAATTATGCGCAGAGCGCCATCTTGCGGAAGACCGGTATACGAATTTGTACCTGTTTGGGTCCTTGTTTCTTGGGTCAAGTTGGACTGTTTCTCGAGTTTAGAATTCAGAACAGGAGTGAATTGTCTGAGGAGACAGAGGTGAGTGTTTTTCTGTTTGAATTATTATCCTAAACATACTTAATCATCATTTGATGACAGCTGTAGGAGTCGCCCCACATGATCGATAGGTGCCACGATATATTCGAATAATTTCGAGTGTTTTACTTCTTTAGATCGTTTTTCACGGATTGCAGGGACTCTCCTGCAAGGGTTAAAGTGGATTTACTTATGTATAGAAGCACCTCCAGTTGACCGAGGGTGAAAGATTAGGTTGGTTCACTGTGACTGGAAAAAAATGCCATCCACTGTGAATAATTTCAACATCAGAGACGTATGGAAAAACAACATGGAAGAAGAGTTCGCTAAAATAAGAGATGTAGTTGAAAACTATCCTTATGTAGCCATGGTAAGAGTAAAATATTTCGTTTTAACCTTTGTTGGAGTAAATTGCTTTAAAAGTGAATCATTCCGGTGGTTAACATCATCAAATAGTACAAAGGCCTTTGAGTTAAGTATTGGTGAGCTCTTATTGTTTATTTCTTGACTGATAGAGGAAAGCTTGCATAGTTAATAGAATTGTTTTTACCTGACAATGCAAATTAACTAGACAAGCTTAATTGTACTTGTTTTTTTGATGGTAGGACACAGAATTTCCAGGTGTTGTGGCAAGGCCTATAGGAGAGTTTCGCAGCACTTCAGAGTATCAGTATCAACTTCTAAGGTGTAATGTGGACTTATTGAAAATCATTCAACTTGGCTTATCCTTTTACAATGAGAAAGGACAACAAGCACCTGTTGGAGCCACTTGCCAGTTTAACTTCAAGTTTAACCTAACGTAAGTTTTATTCTGCGCAACTGTGAAACAAATCACAGATGCAAACAGCACAGAAAATGTTCAACACAAGCTTGAATATTTCTTGAGTAAGGCCTGCTTATCTCAACCCATGAGAAGAAGTGGGTTGAGATAAACACAGATGGGTACCTCTGGTGGCAGAGGAACAATAAGCACCTGGGCTTCAGAAACTCTGGCAAACTATAGAAGTGTGATCCACTTAGCACATGAACTAGGTTTTTTTTTTCAATTATCAGAATTCTTGTTTCAAAATTTAAAGAGCTTGAAAATATTCTGATGTAGTTTGTGGCTGTCAGAAACCAAACATAATAGGTCTAAACTTTGCAAACGCACCAGTTTAACAGTATTTATTCAATTGATTTTACAAATATTTACCACAGAGAGGACATGTATGCCCAGGACTCAATAGATTTACTCAACCGAGCAGGTATCCAGTTTAAAAGGCATGAAGAAGAAGGAATTGATGTGAATGACTTTGCAGAGCTTCTGATAACATCAGGACTTGTTCTGAATGAAGATGTCAAATGGCTATCATTTCACAGGTAAATATTACTAAAGACATGCCGGGTGGGAAATAAGTTTCTTTGCTCAGTATTGCATACTTTTCTCATATTTAAAGGTGTACAAGGTTTTCTTTTATGGAACATTATGTTTTAAAACTCATATTTTGATAACATTGAGTCTTCCATAGAGAAAGATATTTTCCTTTATGTTATTCAACATTTCCTTCTCTTCCATTCTGATTTTGTGGCTAAATTTTTTCACCAGTGGTTATGATTTTGCATACCTGTTGAAAGTGGTGACAGCACAAAATTTGCCAAGCGAAGAATCAGAATTCTTTGACCTACTGAAGATCTACTTTCCAAATATTTATGATGTTAAATACTTAATGAAGAGTTGCAAGAGTCTTAAGGGTGGCTTGCAGGAAGTGGCTGAACTGTTAGAGGTAAAGTTATAACTTACAATTCATCATAGCTCAATCAAATTGTAGCAATTATTATAATCTCATTAGTAAGCCTTCTTGGGATCTTTATATATATATATATTTCCAACCATCTCTTGAGTGATGGGAGATAATAGAGATGGTGTTTGTCTGAAACTTAATCAGAGGTAAAACTCTAAGGTTTTTAATGATATTACAAAAGGTAGCTGATAACATTTGACAAATTGGTATTATTCATTTTGCTTTGAGTGTGATATAAGGGAAAAGATCAGTGTACCCATGAAGAATCAACCCTAAACATCCAATTGTGATGCTGTACCACCCAGTGGTAGAATATTGGAGAGTGGTGTGCGAAAATTTTGAAGTTGTGTGTATCAGTTTCTGGGATTTAATTTTCAACAAAAGGACAAGTCTTGAGAAAAATAGAACAATAAAGTACCCATGCAAATACTTGATAGATATAAAAACCAAGTCTATATTTTAGCTTTTTTTTCATTTCTTATAGCTTGAAAGAGTGGGACCCCAGCACCAAGCAGGAAGTGACAGTCTATTAACAGGAAATGCATTTTTTAGAATGAGAGAGGTATATCATTATATGTTTATTTTGGAGTTGTCGCCCTTGTTTTACTGAGGACAGTATCTGATTAGAACAGGTAAAGAATTTCAATTTAACCATTTTAATAATTTTTCTATGCATTTTGTATCCTACAGATGTTTTTTGAAGATAATATAGATGATGCAAAGTACTGTGGACACCTTTATGGGTTGGGAACATCATATGTGAATGGAGGACAAGCATACAGTGGGCCAACTTCCAACAATAATTCCAATTCATCCTGATGCTGGCTACTGTACACTGCTTCATGCAGCTTTCAATTCAACAGGTTGTAAATCTGCATTTTAACTAGGCACCCAAATGTTCTTTTCCTTTGGGGAATCTTAATGAGATTTTTAACTGTTCCTAAGTTACAAGATGCTTTGCTAGGGTCCATATCCTTTTCATCAGTTGAAGATTTTTTAAGAAGATCAGTTTACTAAAGATAAAAACTGTACAGTTCTGTTAAACAACCTCTATGAACCAGCAATCAGATAAGTGCATTTATTTGGAACTCCTAAAAACTGATAGGTCAGGGTGTTTCAAAGTTTGAGAAATAGAAAGTCTAAGGCCCAAGAAACAGGTTTGTTTGAAACTTCCTTCTTTTGCTTCAATGAGACAACTTATCTACTCAAAAAAGTAGCAAAACTGAATTGAGCTTATCACTTGTTGAACTCTCAAGACATTTTTTGTGCAGTTTTTAATACAATGACACTGTAGATATTTAGTATTTTTATGGTAAGATTTTCATGTAGAAAAATTTGACAGGAGTAAGGACAGTGGCAAGTATAGTTATGCTGGAGAACTGATTAAAATCTTTTTAAAGTTATTTTTAGATTTAACATGATCATTGTAAAAGATAGATATATATTGCTCTTTATGCATGCTTAAGTGTACATTCATTTTAGGATTGGATTGTGTTAGATTCCCTTTTGCCTTTTCCCTTTTTGTGTTTATTGTACTTGCTGTTTAGATTTGATGGGCAAGCACAATGAAGCCAATGTGTATGGATTTGAAACAATTTCAAATAATTTTACAGTGAATGCAGGATTTGGTTCTTCACAAAAACCTAGTGATTATCCAACAATTTAAAGCAACATCTTCTAAAGCAAAACAACAACAACAACAAAAGGAAACAGAGTAATCTTTTTTAGGTCATGATATGTCCACCTTTTTTCACCTTCATGGAAAACATGGAACATGGTGAGATGATTAAATAGTAACTTGAAACAACCCTCCTACAAATCAAGCAAGTCTTAAAGTCTTTACCTTGGAAGTGCTCGGTTGGAATCTAACAGTTTTTACACTAGTGTAAAAAGGTTTGTTCATTGCTAAAGCATGCATTTATAAATATATATATCGAGTCTTGTAAGTAGTACTATAAGAAATTTTGCAACTAAAGAAAATTATTAAAGTTAAATGTTATGGTAATGATGCAAGGAAATCCTGACTCTGTTTGGTTGTTTTGATTATTAAATTTATTTATATTATTGAATCACCTAACTTTTGTGGGAAATCTTTGAATCCTAAGGAGTTTGAGCCAATTGGAACACATTTCATTATTGCAAGGGTAAATCTCCACCC